CTTTTTATACAATTGATCTCATATCAAAGCTTGTCAAAGAATGTGAAAGCATTATCGATGCAATGTTCTCGGTGGTTGAAGAAGAAAAAGGAATAATCCATGGAGAAAAAGAGGCTATAATGGTGTCAGCACAAGGAGTTTTTAGTAATACAATTGCAGCTCTACTGATTATGCAAGAGATTAGAAAAGGAAGCTCTACATACGGTCACTTCTCTTTGTCACCTCTCAACTTGCCAGATTTTGATTTCATCCAATCCTTTTAACTCAGCTCACCCATACCAATTGCCTAATGATTAGAGAAATTATGATACATACAATACATTTAACACATATGTTTGGTGATAATTTTGTGTTTTGGGGGGTGGGCTAAATGCTACATAATACATAATACATGGTGTATAAGAAATTATGCCTACTCCATCTCCTTATTTTTATTTTTATTTTTTTTTCCATTGTGTTGAGCTTCTCTTTTAGAGTAAGAGACAGTTCTAATAGTAATGGAACAATTACAAATTTTCAATATTATGGTTTTAGGTTTCTAAAATGGGATTATCACTATGAATCAAATAAGGAAAATGTTGAAGGTTTATTAACTATTAAGGCAGTGGCTTCTCTCTAGTTCGAAATCAAATTGGAGAGTGCTCTTAGGCTTTCGTGAGCCCACCATAGAGCTCACATCGATGATCCGAACTGTTCAATGTGTAGATCCCGTCAAATACCTAATCCCTGTAAAAAATCACGTTGATTGGATATCGATAGTCACTTGATTAGATTAAATTTGTATCAACGGTAATTATAATTTTAAAAATAAATTATTCATACAAATGTGATCTAATCAAGTAGCTATTGATATCCAATCGATGTGATTGTTTTTAGGGATAAATTATTTGATGAGTCCTACACATTAACGGTTTGAATTGTCGAGACGGACCCATAATGGGTCAGATTGGACCGTCCAATTAGGCTAACCAACTAGAGACCATCTAAGCCCAATTGTTAAAACAACTTGAATCACCAGCAAATATGGAGGTTTTAATTAGACCACTTCACAATTAGAATTAAACATTTGTATTAATGTACAAAATGATGGAAGTTTACAAGATAATATGTCACTTTAGTGCCTTCCACTACTTTTGGAAACTCATTAAACATTTATATTTATTTGTTTTCATAATATTTATATATTCCAAAAAAACAAGCAGAGTATTTTTTTAAAACAAAAATTTGAAATTGTTATCAAAGGACACCTAAGATGTTGTAGACTTTAAATTAATAGGTGATGTGGCATGATTTTATTGGGAGACAAATTTTTTTTGGGAGAGACAAAAATATTTTTCTCATTTGCATGGTTTACACCCTTAAGTATGAGAAAATTCTATTTCCACGCTCCACACACTTAATGAATTTTTTTCAGAATCACAATTTTATCCTTTAACAAAATTACCATCTCACCCACCACCATGTCACCTACACATCTCATAATTTCTGTATACACATCTCACCCACATAATTTGATAAGGGTGTGCACATACTCATTTTGTGGCTTTTCGTGTTTTTTCTTCATTAATGGTGGTTCAACTACTAATTCCACAGAGTCCACATAATTTGTATTTATTAAACTATATGTTTCTTTGTTTTTTTTTAGTTTGTGTGTATCATTTGTTGGTGCCTACTACATAATTTCATTGAATTTGTTTGTCGGGGAAGGTGTTTTCAGTAATGGGTCATCTTTGAATCTTCCTAATTTGGGGTTAAATTTCGTTTCCATGAGGTTTTGAGGAGACCCATCATAGATCTAGAAACTGGGTTTTATCAGAATCGTGTTAAGGTGAGATGGGTAATCCTTTAATTTGTGTTTTTTGAGAAATGGGTTTGCTTTTAATCTGTGTTTTGGAACAAACCCATATGTGTTTTTTGATCAATTTTTTTTTTTATTTTTTATTTTTTATTTTTGTTGTTGCAAAAAGAATCTTGGATGACAGTATTGATTTTGGCTTATCAGAATCTTAGAGTTGTCTATGAATTTTTTCTAATATAATCTGATGAAGGTGTGCACATTTTTTATTAAATGGGTATATTTGAAATGTGAGGTGTGTGGACTAAGATAAATACCTAAGAATCAAATTATTAATGTGTGAAGTGAAAAAGAATATACACAAAGATAATGTGGTGTATGAAAATAAAATTTCCCCTAAGCATAGGTTTAGGTTGGGTTGATCCGCGCCACGAGACATTTTTAATAATCACATAAGTCTAACAACAATTGATAATTCGACCGAAGTAGTAAAAGTCACATAAGCTCAACAACAATTGATAATTGGACAAAAGTGGAAAAGCCACATAAGCCTAATAACAGTTGATAATTGGACAAAAGTAGGAAATGTCAGACAGTAACTAGAGTCAGGATTTTTTTTAATTATTATTTAATATTCTTAAAAAAAAATAATTTAGAGAATTGACCCATTTTTTAAATTATTTAAAAAATTAATTTACTTTTTGACCTTGCATTTTGAAAATGTGATTTTAAAATTGAAATTGTATTTTTAACATGTAACTTTACCTTTAAATCACATGCTGAAAATGTAATATATCTTAGTGAAATTCATGCCATCATAAATTACATTTTCAACATAAGATATATTACATTTTCAACATGCGATTTTAGGATAAAATTGCATGTTAAAAATGTAATTTCAATTTAAAATTACATTTTCAAAATGTGATTTTAAAAAGTAAGTTAGTTTCTTAAATAGTTTGAAAAATGAGTCAATTCTCTAATTATTATTTTTTTGTTTATAATACTTATATAAAAAAAAAAACCCTAGAATCAGGCTCCATTTGGCTCCATTTGAGAAGAGTGATTTTTAAAATTGTCATATTATTTGATTTCTCTAATATATATATATATATATATTGTTGTAAAAAATCTAAAAAATTAAGTAGAATAACTAATTTCCAAATGGGGCCTCAAAGTAAAAAGAATTTTTTTAAAATCCCAACCCATTGCCCTTTTTTTTTTTCTTTTTGGGTGGATTTGAATTTCAGCCCTTTCTTGGATTTAACAAAACAACAATCAAATCTGATTTATAGCACCTATTCAATGATTGAGCTGTTAAATTTGTAAAATATATATTTTGATTTTAATTTAAAAATACATGTATAGTAAATATGTTGTTTCCTTTTTCTAAGGTCATGGGTTCCAGTTAGGGGTGGATATCAACTTGTTGGCCTACTCAACCCAATCCAGTCTTATATTTCTAAGGCTTGGGGAGATTGTTTTAGCCCATAAAGTTGGGTTGGGCCAATATTTTTATGTCGAAATATTTTTGGGATGGGTTTGAGATTTATACTTAGCTTAGCTCGGCCCGCTATTAAATTAATGAATGAATTATTTATTTATAATATATTAAAATATATATATTTTTTGTTGGGATCTAAATTTTATTTTAATTGATTTGATTGAAACTCACATCTGTGGTGATGTGTGATTGAATTTATTTGAGAAACTTTCAATTTATACACAAAATCTTTCAATTTATAATGATGTCAATATATTTATTTAAGAAATATATTGTGTTACTGAATTTCATTATGGAATGTTTTAATTTTTTTTAAACATATAGCTCGATGGGTAAGCTTGGGATTTATAATTATTTTTTAGACTGAGTTCGGGCTCGATGTTAGGGCGAGGCTAGGATTGGACGTACACAAAATCTCTTATTATGTAATGTTGGCCCGACTCGACGTTTGTCCACCATTAGTTCAAGCTATATTTATTTCAGTATATAATAGAGGTGTAACTCGGGTGGGTTCGATTAAGTTAAGAGGTTGTCTAAATTCAGTCCAAGTTATACTGAAACCTGTTTAGGCCCAAATTGTAACCCAAAGTTTTCTGCCTAAGCCCAATCCAAGTATATCCTTATCTCAATTTTATTATTTCAATTTGTTAAATTTGTATTTGATCTTTTATTATATTAAAAAATTAGAAATTAAGAAAATGAGTTAGAGAAACTCCAAGAACTTTCACGTGGGATATTGGAAACTTTTTAAATAATATCTCCCTTGTTTGGTTTGGAATTTTAGGATTCACTTTTGAAATTTTTTTTTTTCATTGAATTTTTATAATATTCTTAACAATTTTTTTTTAATTTTTAGATACACCTAATATAAATACATTTAAAAAATATAATATTTATAAAAAAATCTTTAAAAATTTCACTAAATACCAAAAATATAAAAAATACGAGAATTCAATATATTTTTCGTATTATTAATTTTTTAAAATATTTTATTTTTTAGATAATCTAAATAAGATGTATCTAAAAAATAAAAAAATTACTTAAAATTTTAAAAAAATTCATTAAAACAAAAAAATAATCAAAAAATATATAATTTCTAAAAAATTAAAACCAACACACATTGATTTTGAAAAATTTTATCGACACACTATGGTCCCGTTTGGTAGAGCTGTGGGAAAGTGATTATAACTTATAACCAAATAGTTTATACCTTATAACTGTGAACATAAGTTGATTTTTGACTTATAAATTAAGCTTATCCTTCCCCACTTAAAGAATAAGTTGATTTTTGACTTACAAAAAGCTATAAGTTGTATTGTTAAGCTGAACCAGACACATCAAAATAGCTTAAATTAAGCTAAAAGCTGAAATAAGCTAGAAATAAACCCTACCAAACAGGGCCTACATTTGGTTCTGGATTTGTAACTTTTTCCATATTTAGGCCAAGTTTGGCAACTCAAGAATAATCCATCTTTTTATCTTTTTATGTTTTTTTTATCATATCACCTCTCTATTTTTCTGCACATATTTTTATAAAAAGATAAAAAATATACTTATTTAAGTTATTCCAAACAACCCGTATTTGGCCCAATAATGTAGAGATAAATCTTATCCTAAAAACAAAACAGTAATGGAGGCTTACACACCGTTTAATACCGTTTAGTTTTCCATTTTTTTAAATTTTTTTTTTTTTTTTAAAGTAGACATTATACTTCCACCGTGAAGGCCAACTCAACAACAACCTGAAAAAGGACTGCGATTTCTTGTGCACAGAGAAGCGGAGAGAGAGAGAGACACGAAGGAAAATGCCTAGAGAAACCCTAGCTTCTTCTTCGTCTTCATCTTCAACTTCATCGAGTGGTGCCAACAACCCACCTCCTGAAGACGCTTGGGTCGACGCTTACCAGAGACTACTCCCCCAATGGCAATCTCTCTCTCTCTCCCCCCAGGTATATCACTCTCTCTCTCTCTCACTCACTCACTCACTCTCTCTCTCTCTCTCTCTCTCTCTCTCTAGCCCCAAACTTGTATGCTTTCGAATTGTCTTCTTCTCTGTTTCTCCAATTTGAAATTTTCATGGAATATTGCCTTTAGTTTTCGTCACTTAGGGTTTACTGTCTTTTTCTATATATGCGATAAATTTTTCCATGAATTAACTAATCAAGTGTAAGGCCCTGTTTGGTAGAATTTTTTTTAGCTAAAATCTGATAATCAGAAAGTCCCCAGCTTCTAAATAATCAGTTTTTTTCAGTTGCCTAATAAGGTGTAAGCGGAACCTGTACCAAGCAGTGTACTCCCAAATTAAAACAAGTTATAATCAACTTCAATAAGCTGCAACAAACAGCCCCTAAGTCGTGAAGTGATTGTTATTCTCGAAGCTAACTGAAACTTGAAGAGTCTTTTGCTAATTTCCCCCAAGTTCCACAATACAGTGACCTTTTTAGTTGTTGAAATGGTAAAAGGATGTCCTGAAATTTAATTTCCGTAAAAAACTGTTTATCTCAACTATGAAAGCAGGAGGGCTCTGCTGAATTTGAATGCATAGCTAGGTTTTCATGTGCTAAATTTTAGATAATTATAGCTTTTGTATATTCGAAATGGGCTACGAAACTCTTATGCTGGGTTTGGTCGGGGGATTTGTGAAGGGATTTGGAAAAGGGTAGAGAAAATGTAGTTGAAATGTCAATAAGAGATACTTACATTTCATCAAGTTTTACACATTTCATTTTCTTTTCCAAATCTCTTCCCAAATCTCCCAACCAAACACAACATTAAGAGCAGTGAGTAGCTAGTGCCTTAGCATATACGTAATACACTAGCTTAAACAAGTCGTTTATTGTGATAACAACATTCACTGGCTGAAATTAGGCAGCTAGTTTCGTAGACTTTTGAGTAGTATCATAATTTTGACTTTTAAGGTTAATTTTCTTGAGTTTCTAGGGGAAAAAATGAAAGAAAAGAGAATACAATCTCTAATGCTCATATTTTAACAATTTTTAGCTTCTCATACTTGAACGTTTTTGGTGGTTTTGTTGACAGTCAATCATCCCTATTTCAATATCAAGAGTTAATCAAGTTGATGCACAACGGCTCGACATTGAAATGTCAGCCATGTTGAAAGAACAGCTGGTTAAGGTCTTTTCTTTAGTGAAGGTGTGTATCATTTGGATTGTTTGGTTATTCATTGAAGAAATCAATATATAGCTAATGTTGGATTTAATTTGTCTCTTCTATTTCTTTGGTATTAGCCAGGACTGTTATTTCAATATGAACCTGAACTTGATGCTTTTCTTGAGTTTCTCATTTGGAGATTCTCCATTTGGGTTGATATGCCCACACCGGGAAATGCTCTCATGAATTTGAGGTATAGAGATGAACGAGCAATAGAACCCAGAGGAAAAGGTGAGAAACTCTTGCCTTGTCTTCCTTATACAGTTGGTTGACTGATACTGTTGTGCTTTGGTTACTGTTACATGATTTGCACACTTCAAAAATGAGCCATCCCTCTAATTTTTATAATCCTATTTTGCGTTTTATTGGCGTCACATCAATTTTTATATTTGTGGTAGATTGCAATCAATTAGGTTCTTATCATTCCTCCTTTTTTTATATGTCTCCTCAAATTACTTTTGCATTAATTGTGCCAAAGAGTAATGGTAGGTGAAACGGTGTAAAGTTCCATCTAATTAAAATTTATCAAAGAAATATCTCCTCACATCTAATAACTTTTTCTTTATAAGCTTATGTAATGAGATGGTTAAAATCTAATAATAGTCGCTACCAATGTTACATGGACCGTTCTATTTCTCCTAGTGTACTCCTATCCATCAGATATGATAAGCGAAAGGGTGAAGGGTATGAGGTATGTATTTGAACCTAAATTAGACGTTTAGGTCCTCTAAATTTTATAATATTTGAAGTTCACATTTGAAAGTAAAGAAAATTTTCCTTAAATGGATGAGAGATCGAAATCCCCTTTACTTCCTAAATCTAATTTAATCCACATCAATTTCTAATAATTTACATCTTATTTCAGAATATCATTCAATACACAATACGTTTAAATGGTCAAGACTTGTCTAAGTACTTGTACCCAACTTTTGGATACATATCCTAATATTTTGGGTTTAGGAAGGTTTGACTCTTGGACACATACCCGCATCAGATGTTAGTATCCTAGTCCATGCAACACAGGTTGTTATATAGCTGCTGCGTTCTGTAACTTGATTTTAGGGTTATGCAACTTTGTTGTTGGATAAAATAGGGTTGATTGGTTGGTTGTGTAGGAAAATACATGCATCTTAGACACTAATATATATAAAGTTCTAACCAACCAAAACTTAAAGTAACTTTCTTTTAAAAGTTCAAATAACAGATTGCTGATATATCTTGAATCCCGTTAGTAAATTCATTTTCTTAGTTATGAAAACTTGCTCATAAAAATGCTGAATGGTTGAGTGGATAACAGTGTTCAAACTCTATTCCTTGAGAAAATGAAAAAATAAAAGAACTAAGGAAAAAGGAAGATGGAAAGCTCTTTACAAAATCTAGTTCTATCAGGCTACACCTCATGATCCATCAGGATTACCTTTTCACATTCTTACTTTTTTTTTTCTTCTTTTTTTCTATGTTGTTATCGCTTCTTTCTTAAGTCTTATGCACATATTTTTCATCTTTCATTATTTTCAGCTTTTTTTGTTATTTTGATTTTTGTGTGTTATTTGAGTTTGGAGTTTGATTTCATTAGTCAGTTGTAGGTTTGCGTAGCTTGGACTAAGTTTCTTTTGAAGTTCTTGTGATTTCCCTCTTATTTCATACAAACAACTGTGACTCTACAGTTCTGTAAATGCTAAGAAGCATGAACACAAATATGGATACCGATGTAGATGCAGATGCGGATGCGGACCCATGACACTACCATTTCAAAAAAATGAAGACATAGATAAAGTGTGGACACGACAATAAAATATATTTTCATATATTTTTATTTTCTATCTAGATTAGTATTACATCCACAAATAATCAATATTAACAAAAACTAATTCTAATTTATATTTAAAGGGAAAAAAAACTTTTAAATTAACACTTACAGTTTATATCTTTTTTTATGAATAATCTATTAATTATTTAAATCTAAGAAGAAAATAATAAGCATTCAACATTCATCAAAAGTATTAAAGAAAATGGGGGAAAAGACAAGTTGGCATGTCTCTAGTGTGTCCCTTGAAAATAAATTAATTAAATAAAAGGATACACCATGTGGTATGTCCCATATATGTCCCCGCCATGTCTGTGTGTTTGACACGGCTACAACACTTGTTTTGAAGTGTCGGTGCTTCATAGTGTAAATGTATGTTGAAACATTGCACAAGTGGTAAATTGGGAATACATGAAGAGAGAGATTTTTTTGGGGGCAAAATCCATTATACCCTATGTGGTATTCTCCTAGAGCACTTTACCCCCTAGCTTTTTTTTTTTAAAATATGCAAATGCCCCACGTGATTTTAGACTAAAGTGCTATTGTTAAATTTTTCATTCAAATAGATGGAAATTGTGTTGTACCCGCCTATTTAGAGAGTGCGACAAAAGGAAATAAAAAAAAAGAAGAAGTTAAAGTCAAAGTTCAATGTGTAAAGACAAAATGGCCATTCTCTGCATCTTCTAACTTTAAACACTATGCCAAGCCCTAACCCATCTACCCACCCACCCCTCCAACCAACTCCACTGTCCACCACTACTTCCTTCTTCCCCCTTCTCCCCCACCCTTCTCTACCTACCTCACTGCCACCTCTCTCCTCCTCCACCTCCCTAGCCACAACCACTGGTTTGCACCCACAAACATTGATTCACATGACTAGTGGTTTGCACAGCCACGATCATCGAAGCAACACACACCATCAAAGCAACACACCACATTGGTTTGCACAGCCATATGGCAATTGTTTCAATGCTTTGATTCCCAAACATATGGTCAAATTAATTCTTTAGATCTTGAGATTGATTCCTTTTACATAGGTTAATTCTTTCAAATCTTAAGACTATTCCCTTCACCATACGTATGTATAACTTTGTACACTTGTGTTTATGTATATATGTATACTTTTAATTTTTTTTAAATGAGATTACATTGGGTATACTTTTTATCCATTAAAATTGGTGGTGGTGGTTGGATTGAATATAATGATGGTAGGAATTCTATTTTCTGTTACCAGAAGAAGAGAAGGGAATATACTGTTACAATGATGATGAGGGTATAGTCTTTTTACATTTTTCGTTAAACAGAGTTAATTGTGCATATTTTTAGAAGATAGGGAGTAAAGTGCTTTGGGGTTATACCACATGGGGGTAAAATAAATTTTGTTCGTTTGTTTGTTTGTTTGTTTGTTTTTTTTTTTTTTTTCCCTTAGAAAATAAAATAAAATAGAGTCACTAGTATTCAATGTTACAGGAACTCTAGTGCAAGCATCAGAGCTTTCTATATCTACATTTAGGATATTGGGATATGCAACTAAAAGTTGGATATGGATATGGGGACATCTCTCAAATACTTACATGTATTGTATATTATATAATATTCTTAGCTGAAATATAAATCATTTAGAAATGTACTTTAAATTAAATGAGATTTAGGAAATATATAGGATTTATATCTTCTATTCATGTGAGAAGTTAAAAATGTTCTTTTACTAGAAAATGTGAGCGTCCTCTTCCATAAATATCATATAAAGTAGAGGATCCGAGTGTCTAAATTGGGTAGGATGTCAGATACATATTCCACGTGCTTACCCTTGTCATATTGGGTGGTCATGGGTACACTGGGAGAAGTAGAAGAGTCCATGTAACACAACTAGTATTTAAATATAGTGCTACCTTTTAAGTTTTACCGCAGATTGTCCTGCGTTGTATATATGAAAGCAAATGACTGTTAAGTAATATTCTTACTTTCAAGGCTCTTTGTGTTGTTTGACAATTCACTGGATAAGAAGTTTTTCTAGTAAGTCTAAGTAAATGTTTCTTTATTATGAATTGTTTTTAAATTCCAAAAGTTGAAATTTGCAATTTTTTTTCAGGTGATTCTACAATGTAGTTAACACATAAGAGTTATTCTAATATGCTTCAACTTAGGATTCCAATCTCTTTTCATATAGTTCCTTGGTAGAAAAGAATTGCCCAGTTTCATGTTACAAGACAAAAAAGGGGCCCAAATTGCACCTGATGTACCCATCTAAATTTGATATTAACCCAGCTCTGTCTACTTGTGTCCTAAGTTTTATATTGTTTGTTTTTTGTGTGACATGCTCCAGTCAGAATGGGTTTGGAAGGACCTGGACTCACTGTTGCACAGAAACTGTGGTATTGTGTTGCTACTGTTGGTGGTCAATATATCTGGTCTCGTTTACAATCATTTTCCGCTTTCCGTAGATGGGGTGATTCTGAGCAGGTGCAAGCATAATCAAATCGCTCTCTTTTCCCGCTAAATAATTATATATAGATACAATATGATCAAGAAAAATGATCTGATTCATCTTTTTATACTTTTCAGAGGCCACTGGCACGCCGAGCATGGACTTTAATACAACGCATAGAAGGAATTTATAAAGCTGCTTCATTTGGGAACCTGCTTATATTTCTATACACAGGAAGGTATGTGTTTTAGCACATTCTCCTTGTTTAGTTCTTCGAAATGCAGCGTCAGTAAATACTTGACCTTGGAATGGAGTGAGGGCTATAGAAATACATTAGATGCAGAATGTGAGTTTGGATGAGCACATTCAACAAGACTGAATGAATGCAATGATACAACGACATGAAATTCTGTTGCAGGGTTTTTTTAGAACTTTGAAGTTCCAATGTGTTATTGAACGATGTGGCTGGGTGGTGAATTCCTGTCGATATAGTGCATGCCATTGCATCATCTTTATGCTTTATCTAAAGAACAAAAGAACTATAATTATAATTTATAAGTATCAGTGACCCATACTAAACCTGTAAGTCATGCTCTGGAATAAGAGACTCTGGCTTCTATAAGATAAATCTTTCAAAATTATTTTCCTTTAGTAAATTTGTAATTGACTAGGAAAGGATTTGTCTTTCCATTACGTTATATAGCCTTAACATTCTGTAATTTGCACATGTTATACTAATGCAGGTATCGAAATCTTATTGAGAGAGTACTACAGGCAAGGCTTGTCTATGGAAGCCCTAATATGAACAGAGCTGTTAGCTTTGAGTACATGAATCGCCAGTTAGTGTGGAATGAATTCTCGGTAAAGTTTTTATTTTTTACTTTGCATAACTATCGACTTCAGCAACTGAATATTAGGAAAGGCTTGTCTGTTTAAATTTCAAATTTATAGGTCCTCATATGTTCTAGTTGGTAGGCACTGATGAGTTCTTGGCTGATTGACTAAATTTGTACTGTTATTGATTGCTTGATGCCCTTTTGTATGGTGTGTTCTTCCAAGCACACTTCTGGATCTACCATGTCCAGTTTCTTCTTCAGGACCTAAAAATATCTTTCTTTTCCCCCCTCCTCCTGTCCGCCCCTCCATTGTCTTGGTACTGCCAAACTTTTTGCTCAATTTTAAAGTACTGTATTTTGTATTAGATGTGTGCGCTATGAAAATCAACCAGTTGAATGTAGGAGGAAAAAAAAAAAAAAAACTGAAAAGTCATCAAAATTTGAAATTCAAAATAAAAATCTGAGGTGGGTATATGGAGGTACAGGGAAAATTTGGAAATGTAAAGATGTATTCAATTATATATTCAATGATGTTGTTGATCATTGTTTTCTTGAGAAATGCATGTGTTAATAATTGAAGTGCATTGCTAAGTAAAGATCTTGCATATTATCCACTGTTCATGATGAATATATTCTCTTATATCTTACTTTGATGTGCAGGAAATGTTATTGTTACTTCTTCCTCTTCTCAATTCATCATCCATTAAAAAATTTCTTCATCCATTCTCAAAGGATAAATCTTCAAACTCAGGGTTAGATGATGCTGTATGCCCCATCTGCCTAGCGAGCCCAAATATTCCATTTCTAGCTCTCCCCTGTCAGCACAGGTACATTCCTTATACTTTCATTTCTCTATTGGCCATAATTACTTCATACATGCAAATCACTTATAATCGAAAGCCCAAATGGCATGGATCGAAATGTTTTAAATCCTAGATTATATATCAAAACAGTCATCGGACTGCTTGTGGTGGGCAGTTCTCTCACGTAGCCTGTTTCATTGTGCATTCCATTGATACAAATATATGGTAGAAGAACGGTTCAAGAATTTTACCAGAATATGTTTAGTAATTACTTTATTAAGAATCTCATGCAATTTTGCAATATTTAAATCTTTTATTGAAATTATGAAAGGAGTGCTGACAGACCTAACCTTTGGCACTATTTGCGAATTGGCCGTTCTCAAACTCGAACCCCCTTTTCTATGAAATTATAAAGCCACTTGCGCTCCATTTGTTTATACGGAAAATATTTTTTGAAAAATGTTTTTTCGCATTTTATAGCGCTTGGTACAACGGAAAATGAAGTCAATGGAAAAAGTTTTCCATGGACAACGGAAAACAAGCTATTTGGGAGGAAATTTTTTCCCACTTTTGAAAAGTGGAAACGTTTTCTGGAACAAAATCTTACCAATGCCACTACACCACCACCATCTCCTCCTCTGAACTTATTTTTTTAGTTTTAGGGTTTAGTTTATTCTTTTAGTTTGTTCCATATGTCCTACATCACCACCACCACCCCCGCTAGTACAACCACTTGTACATTAGTTTGAAGGTCACAACCACAGATAGGAAAATGTTTTTTACTGATAACATTTTCGGAAAACTTGAAAACATTTTCCAGAAAAAGTTTTTCAAAAATGTTTGGCACTGAAACAAATGGAGTGTTAATATTTGGAACAATAGCTTAGAGGGCATCTGGGTTGATGTTGAGCTGGTCTGCTTATTTCTAACCTGGAACAGTTTCAGCCTCATGTTTCAGTCCAGGTTCCAAGATACTGGATCAAAGTTTTGTAAATAATGTGATTTCATTATAGCGCATCATTGTAAGCCCTCGCGTGTATGTTTTGGGGAGGATCTATATGGTAACGAATGTTTTAGAACAACAAATGCCCAAAAGTGGCATTTTTACCATTCAATTTAGAAAAGATTTACTTGAAAAAGCATGTGTTCATTTTTATGGAGTAGCTTTCATTCTTTGGCAAAGTCATATATTTGATTGTAGCTGGCAATTTTCTGTGTTTCTTTTAATTTTTGTTGCTTCTTTATTTCTTTATTATTATAATGATAATTATTATTAGAGTAAATTATTAATAGGCCGTAATAGTTGGATTTAATTCTCATTAAGTCTTATTGAAAATAAGTTTTAGTAAAATCGTTGTTAAAAATAATTTTGTGACGATTTTTTGGATGTCGTTAAAAATTAATTAGTGATTTTTTTGCTATAGTTTTATAAATTGTTGCTAAAATTTATAATTAGTGACTTTTTTTATGATGAATTTTTTAAACAGTAACTGAAAGTTAAAAATTAGTGATTTTTTTGTGATGATTATTTTAAATTATCGTTAAAATTTATAATTAATAACATTTTTTGTGATATAATTTTTAAACTATTGTTAAAAATTAACAAATACTGTCGGTTTTTAATAGCATTTGATGGAAAATCTGATGAATTATTATAGGATCTATTGGATAATAAATTTGAATTATTAAGGTCTACTACCAGTAAGCCTCCCTAAATATAATAGATGCGATGACATTCAAATTTCTTAGCAATTTTTATAATAAATTAATTTTCTAAATGTATTTAGACCAAGTGTTGATTCAAGTAGGAAAAAGTAAATTAATTATAAAGATATTATTTTAAATTTTTATTAATGAGTTTAATTTGACTGGTTCATAATAATTTTAGATCTTTATAAAATTTAAAAATAAATTATAGTTTAATGTCAATGAACTTATGTACAACCCTCAATTCATGCTATGGTTTTTGCTTCAATCGGAAGACAATTTTTTTATGAATATCTTCAATTTATAACATGAGTTTATAAATTACATTGCAAAGGTTTAACTGCTAGCAAAAAAACAACTATCATAAATATTATAGCAAAAACTAATGATTAAATGGCACATTCGTTTTTATATTTTTAGAAACACAAAAAAAATTAAAAACATTGTCTATGTTTATGCATTATATTTTTTAGAATAGAATTTTTTTCTAAAACAAATTAAAACAAAATATTTTTAATATAAAGAATTCAAAAATACAATAGTGTAATATATCCATGTATATATAAACATTACCATATTGATAATAAATCAGTAAAAATAAATGTTCTTTGAAATTAATAATAACAATTCAAATTTAATTTACTTTCTAAATTGAAGTGATTTGATGATTATTACTTTATGAACTAAATAATTAATTATTAATTATATTTAAAATGTAATAACTAATAATTGAATGATATGTGTATTTATGTATTTTAAAAATTCAAAAAATTAAAAAAAAAAATTGTATTGAAAGTTTTAAGCTCAAGGCCTCACAACATTTTTACTTATATGATATAAATACTAGCAGGCCACACACGTAATATGTGTGCAATCCATACTATATATTAAGAAAAATGGGAGTTATGATGGGAAGGGATGTGAGAGTTCTAATATATCATGCTAAATTCTTAATTTTCTTAATTTTAAATAATTAAAAAAAATTCCATTGACTAGCCTCCATTTAACAATATAAAAAATAAAACTCTAATTACTCCATGATTTATGACTTTTAAAAGGAAAATATACTAATTCTTTTCAAAATGCATATTTATGTTGCTATTAAATATATGAAGCAATTTATCATAATAGAAAAATAACGATGTCAAATTTTAAAGGGAAAATCGGTCTAGGGTCCCTCTTACACTTTTCGTAATGGGAAAGATCCACAAAATTATTTTTTGATGTCTGAGGTCCCTAAACATTTCTCTACCCAAAACAACCTCTCGACCTCGATCTGAAGCAGCTTCTGGACCTCACCTCTCTTCACCATCTCCTTCAAATTCGTCTCCATCACCAAATGTCTCTCTCTCGGCATCTTCTCCGTCTTCTCTCTGTCCAATCTCAGGCATTCGATTTTCTGGCAGATCGCACTCAGCTCCTCCGCTAGGGACACATCGATCGACTCGATCTTCGCCGGAGTGGCGTTGACCAGATGAGGATTCTCCTTGTTCGAATCGTTTATCGGTGAGATCATGCCGAAGCTATTCCAAAGTCGCCGCTGCCACACCCTCCTCTACGACCTCTTCCTCAACACCTTCTCCTCCGACTCCTCCCTCCGATTTGCCACCGTCGTAGACTTCCGCGCCACCCGGATCTGTGACCCGGAAGTTCTTCATCAGATTCTTCAACTTCTTCACTGGATTCAACAGCAGGACTTTCTTTTTGTTTAACAAATAAATCAGAAATAGAAGTAAGCACATCAACATTTTCTAAAATTCTCATTGCCTTCAATGTGGTTTGTGTATGCCATAGTGCTGGCAAGTATATACCAGCATGTGAGGCAATTATGTAACCACAACTTGCAAATAAACTTCTGCTATAATCTGCACAAACCATACCCAATAAACTTCTGCTTTGCAAACCTGTCAGAAATTCTCTGTGAATTGTGAAGTCCAGAGAAAATTGGACCAGAGAAAATCTCTGTAAACTAGAATTTCTCTGTGAAGTCCATTAAGCATTCCAGGTTCCAAATTGTGAATTGAATTTTTTTTCATTTGAAGTTGAAACCAGAGAAATTCTCTTGTTTTTTAACTGAATTTTCTCCGAATTGAAACCAGAGAAATTCTCTGGTTTTTTAACTAAATTTTCTCTGGGTTGGTCCAGAGAAATTCTTTCCCGAATTTTCTCTGGACCAATTTTTTCTGGGACTAAAATTTCTCTGAACCAAGCTTATTCTCTCTGGAGCAACATATGCAGATGTGTCTGAAGCCTTTCTATATGTTGAAACCAGTTCCCTATCCTTCTTGGACATGTCCAACTCTTCTCTTGGCAGATTTTGCTTTTTGTCTCACATGAATGCACTGGAACATTTGGATCTCAGCTCTAGTTTGATTGACGATAATTTTGTGTATGCTCAGTTTTCAAATACACTTACATTGGATATGAGTTTACTGTTATGATCGTTTATTTTCCCTTCCTTTCTTAAATCAAAGAAATTCTGAATCTAGACTTTCCAGAGAAATTCTAGACCAATTTTCTCTGGACTGAAATTTCTCTGGATCAAGGTTGAGGGACCTTAGACATTATGAAAATATTGTTGAAGGACCTTAGACATTATGAAAATATTGAATGTACTTTATGCTATACAACCTTAATATCATGGACCTTAAAAAAAAAAAACCCCAATTTTAAATATTCAAAAATTGTCTATTTTGTGCACATATATTTCTATCTTTTCACACTTGAATTTTTTTTTAGAATAAATTTTCAAATCTCTTATTCTCACACCTAAAAAAAAAAAAAAAATTGCAAATTGTAAAAATCTTGAGCAACACACAAAATTAAAAATAATAAAACATTTAAAAAATTTATTATAAATTTCGTCTATATTCATATCTGTCAATAACAACAACAACAACAACAAAAAAAAAGCCCCTTATTGGAGTTCTAAAATGACATTCTGTTGATAAGAAAAATGCTTCAGACCCCCAATGGGGGTCACTGGGGTTCATGAATGGGGGGCTGCCATTGGTCAAAAAAAAAAAATTATTATTATTATTTTTTTTTTTTTTGTGATTTGGACCAATGGGGGGCTGTCACCTCACTGGGGGCCTGTAGCAAGACCGCTGTTGATAAGCCTATTGAGAGCTCCAAAATACTATACTTAATTTCTTGATTTTTTTTTTAAAAAAATTTAAACAATTTAAAAAATTCCATTAGCCAATTATTTCATGATTTGTAAGAGAATATACTAATCTATTCTAAAATTCAATTGAAAAGGAAACACTTCTAAGATATTATTTCACATATATCTATACTACACTATTTACTTATACATATACAACAACGTAGTCATTCCAAAAAATAAAAAACCTAAAACAAACGATGTAAATACAAAAATCATAAACAATTATAGCAGCTATATTACTCAGAGATTTCAATCTCTTTTCCACCTTATATGTCATCAACATCTGTTTCAATCTTTTTGTCAATTTTTCTAATACGTGTTTTAAATATTATTAATTTTTTAATTATTTTTATTGTAGATATTAACCCATATGATATTATGATATTTTTATGGAGATTTCTTCTTCTTTTAATGATTGTGGCATTTGAGAGTTTTAGTTTAGATTTGTATTTGTTAGATATATAGTAGTCAAAGAAAGTTGATGACAGTATGATGGATTTACTATTTAAAAAAAATGCATGTTTTAATTTTAATTCCTTCAATTTCAATTTTAAGTGGTTTGTTTTGAGTTTCTTTTTTTTTTTCATTTTTTTTTTCTTTCTTTCTTATTTTTTTTTTCACTACTTTTAGCAAAACTTACGATAATATTCACTTAGGTTGACAACATAT